CCGGGTCATAGTTGAATTTGGGGATGCGATTATTCAAGGAGTCTGTGATCTTCTGCGCATCTGTCGACTGCGTACTTATCAGATCTTTGATGAGGGCCTTCTGAGAGTCCGCTGTCTGAAGTAGAGCAGCCTTGACGGCTTCGTGGATCACCTTCGCCAAATCGTTGAATTGGATCGCCATTTCTCTTATCTTCGTGAGTTTCGATGCTTCTTGGAGACTTTTGCACGTGGAGTCGTTTCACAAGAAGTTATCCTCGTCGCCACTGTTGAAATTGTTGCGGATTTACCGGGTTTTCCCTTGTACCTCAGACTATGAGTATAGAGAAGGAGAACACTCGTCTAACGTCGCCAACGGCTAACTACGGAATGAATTTATTATTGACCAGTGGGAGCGTCTGCACGCCGTCTGTATCTCACATTCATAAAAGGGGTCATTGGTGGCGCTGAACGCTTTCCGCATACCGCTACACTTGACGAAGATTGAACTCCATGACAGTTTTCCATGCAAGATAATTACTGCCATCTTCCGAAAGAATTATCGGGTTCGTAGTACGAAGACGACCAAGTATTGAATTCGTATCATCGGCGGGTCCTTTCTGATCGGCACTCGGAGGTTTACCACCTGCATTGTAGCCGTCAGACCCGGCCGTTCCAGCATCAATTGCTGAGGGCATTCCGGAGTCCCCTACGTAGAAAAATTTTCGAAGTATACTTACTCGAGTTAATCGAGTCTGGTGTCCTTGCGTACCTCAGGAGTCGCTCGTGCTCCGATAACGCTGTTAGATTTTCGAAGGCTCAGGTTCCTGCTGCTAGCACAGTGGACCGAGGGTGGTTTACTGGACACTAATACTTTACGGAATGACTGATACGAAAGAAACACACACGCTTGAAGTGGTGTTCAAATCAGGGGCAGAGCACCTAGGTCTGCGTGATCTTCTCGGTGCTCAGCCAGCTTTATTGGTGCATATATATAGGTATGGAAAACCCTCACCCATCTGGATAAGTTCCAGGTATTGTGAAATATAATTGCTCTGCCAATTATAACTTCTGGAGTTTTGCTTAATTACAAGAACAAAAGAACTTGCTACGCAGTAGCCTTGAGATTCTGTGACGGACCGGGGAAAACTTAAAACTTGGTGCCAAACTGGCTCCATTCCAAACAATAGTTCGGCTGGTGATTTATCATCGATTGTCCGGTTGGGGGTTCCTCGATACGTTCTAAGGATTGTGCGGATCTTCTGACCCGTGGACCCCTCCTCTTCCGACATTTTTTTGAGGGAACGTTTGAAGGTATCCACGAAGCGTTCCGCCTGGCCGTTGGACATTGGCATGTATGGCGCAGTGAAAATTTGCTTGATCCCGTTTCGCGCGCAGTACTCTTTTGTTGAGGATGCTGCGAACTGGAGGCCGTTGTCTGTGACCAGTTCCTCCGGGAATCCGTTGCGGGAAAAGATGTCGTCAAACATCTCGATCGTTGCCTGTGATGTGATTTTCCTGGTGGCCGATATTTCGGGCCACTTTGAAAATGAGTCCACCACAATTAGGTAGTACCAGCCTCCCATGGGACCGGCGTAGTCCGCGTGAATCCGTTTCCACGGTTTCTCGGCGTTCGGCCACGGCTCCAGGGGTACTTTCCGGGGCAACTTGCCTGCTCGTTGGCATTGATCGCATCGTTTCACCACATTCTCAATGTCCTGGCCCATGTTTTTCCAGAAGACGTATTCCCGTGCCAGCGTCTTCATCCGGGACGTACCTGGATGTCCTTCGTGGAGTGTTTCGAGGACTCCTGCCTTGAGTGATTCGGGGATGACCACTGTTGAGACGAACAAATATTTGACTTTGTGCTGTAATCTAAATAATTCTTAAGAAAGCCCGCTGCGGTAGATAATAACCCTCATAAGAGGTATCGTTCAACTCAAAGAATGAATGCGCGCACTCGAGCCGAGTAAGCGAATGCGCAAGCAACTGACGCCGCTCTCATTCCTAGAAATTCCCGAAGTTCGATCATAAAACAGTTTGCTTTGGACTTAGTTCCAGCAGGTTATGGGCTCATCAAGCTGAGCTGTGCAAAGTAACTTCGGGATCCGTGGAGATCGTGCGAAATTCGAAGCCGAGTGACTCTGCAGAAGGAAACTTGCGACGAGTGAACGAATCATCCGAACTCAGTCCGAGAGAAAAATGGGCTCGACAGATGAGGTCAAAATCATTGTGGAAAAGCTGAACAATGCGGATGACTGGCCGAAGTGGAGGTGGCAACTCGGATTGGCATTCAGAGCGAATGCCTTGCAGAGCGTCGTGGATGGCTCGGAGCCTCAGCCCGAAGCCGCTGATGCGGAAAAATTGCAGAAGTGGATAATGAGAGATGCGAAGGCGATGAACATGATCGCTAACGCTCTCGGG